TTAGACGATGCCCACAATCTTCTTTAAATCATCATCTTGAACAAAACATTCCTGAAAAAAAGTTTTGCAGTCTTGTACATGTACCTGAAAGATTGACAGTTCATACAATTTAATTAATACTTTGCCTAAATGTTCAATAAACTGTTCCTTTTGTAACTATCACCTCAAATGTCAGGCTTTTCAGGGTTAACACAATCTTCAAGACTCAGACAGCCATATCCAATTAAATGGTCAGTGAAAGTCTTTGCTTTAAGACTCCTTAACCTCTTTATACCCAATGTGTCAGGCAGACGGCGGGAAACTGCTTTACATCACATCAATTTCTGGTTTGCTTTTATTAAAAGGATAGTATATTAAATGTAATTTGACTCTAATATAACTCACCCTAATACCATCTAAGATCATTTTTCTTCAGTATGACATCAAAATAGATTGTTTTAAGCAAAAATAGGTATTTGATCATTCAGAAAACTAAATTAAGACATTCAAGAGGCTGTGTACTAAAGTTCATCTTGTAAATAGAACGATCATTTTGCTTCATTAGACCACACTGCACTCAAAAAAAAAATACATTTGCTGTTTGTATGCAACTATGAAACACAATTGAGTTTTTTGTTGGGACAACTTAATTGTTTTATGTTCAATCCACTTAAATTCATAAAAACTAATAAGTTAACTTAATATCTTCATGTTGTGCCAACACAAATCAATAGTGTGGAACCCAACAGTTTTTAGAGTTTTTTTCCCCTTTTTTGACTTTCAAAGTGCTTCGACTAATCTAAAAATCTTCTTTACATTCTACTAAAGAGAATAATAAGTAAACATCTTCATTGATCTAAAGGGAAGTAAACTAACAACAACTTCTCATTTTTTGGGTGAACTATCCTTTAAATTTTTACACAATAACATTTTCAAGAAAGCTATATTTCCACAATAAATTGACAGATATCTTGTGTTACATCAGCATGGAAAACTTTCAATATGCTTTGCACATTAATACTAATCTATTTTGTCCTTCATATACAGTGAGTCCTTGCAGCTGTTCAGCCCAAACATGCTGCCAGAACTGTCAAGTTCAGACCGACCATGGCGCATCTTATCATGTGTTAGCCTACTGTACTGACATCAACACCGTTTTAATAACCTAGTAATGGTACTGCTCGTTCTGTTAAATCAGAAACAAAAGCCTAGCAGTAGAAACTTTCACATTATATACCTGCAGTGTCAATTACTCAAATAGGAATGAGCAAATTAGCAAGACTCTTGTTAGCATGCTAGTTAGCCAGATCTCGCTGATAAAATTTGAAAGCTCGCTTCAGATTTGGTTTAATTGTTTTAACCGTTGGTTAATTTAAAGAGAAATTAGTTTATTTGTTGACCTTGTCGTATAACTGTTATTTATATAAAGATAAAAATGTGTCGCATAAATGCATAAATGTAGCTAGTAATGGGCTGTGTTTCAAAATAATTGAACTGCCTGGTTAGGGGACTTCACGGGCGCGTGCAAACTTTAGATTCCATTTTTAACCTCTCATGCTCAAAATGCTGCCTACATAGGTGACTCGCTAGGTTTTGAGACTCTTGCATAGACCTGTTTCAGTCTGAATGAAAACCGCAACTAAAATATTACCTGCGTCCCCACCACTGCAATTTGAGGCAGCTGGATAATGTCCGCCCCGACTGTGTTAAAAACATCCTGGAGTTTGTTAATGACAGGAATAAGAGCCTCCATCGCGTTGACGATCTCTTCCCTGTCAAAATGAATGAGCTAAGGCGAACACCCCGGCTAAACACGGCACAAAGTCATCCAATGTCCCTCACTGAGCCACCATGAACCAACCCGGCCGCGGAAAAACTGCGAAGCGGTGCATTGCGGGAACTGTAGTTTTAGGCGACACGACAGCTGTTGACCCACTTTAGAATTTTCTGGAATCAAACTACATTTCCAAGCATTGTTCTGAGTGAATGCGTCAAGGCAACCGTAACTATGGGGTGCAACAAAAATATTTTGGTGCACGCAGAAAAAAAATGTTTTAGGTGAGATGTCATAAAAACAGTTTAAAGGTGCATTATTTGCCTACTTAAAATGCTTTTCATTAGTACCCAAAAGGTTGTAATAATATGATAATCTGAGCAACTCAGTTTCTCTTTCTCGTATAACTTTGAATAAAATATTAGTATTTGTTTTATTCTATAAAGGTCTGATAACCTTTGAGCCTGATTCCAGTCAACAAACTTGTAAAAAAAAAGTAAATAAAAAAAAAAAAAAAAAAAAAAAAAAAATATATATATATATATATATATATATATATATATATATATATATATATATATATATATATATATATTCCCCCAATTTCTTTTTAACGGAGAGAAGATTTTCTCAACCCATTTCTAAACATAATAGTTTTAATAACTCATTTCTAATAACTGATTTATTGTATCTGTTATGATGACAGTAAATAATATTTTACTTTATATTTTTCAAGACACTTCTATTCACCATTAAAAGCTTAACTAGGTTAATTAGGTTAACTAGGCAAGTTAAGGTAATTAGGCAAGTTATTCTATAACAATGGTTTGTTCTGTACTCTATCAAAAAATATTTAGCTTAAAGGGGTTAATAATCTTGACCTTAAACTGGTTTTAAAAAAATTAAATACAGTTTTTAATCTAGCCGTAATAAAGCAAATAACGCTTTCTCTCTCTCTCTCTCTCTCTCTCTCTCTCTCTCTCTCTCTCTCTCTCTCTCTCTCTCTCTCTCTATATATATATATATATATATATATATATATATATATATATATAGTGAGTGTGTGTGTAATTTTTTTCAATTCATCTTTATTTCTATAGCGCTTTTACAATGTAGATTGTGTCAAAGCAGCTTAACATAAAAGATAATAGCTAACATAGCTTAACATAGAAGATAATAGCTTAACTATAGAAGATAGTAAACTGAAACTGAAAAAAACCTAGAGAAAAACCAGGCTCTGTTGGGCATGACCATTTCTCCTATGGCCAAACTTCTTGTGCAGAACTGCAGTCTAGTCGAAGGAGGCTGGAGAATGCTGATATATATATATATATAGTCAGTGATTACCGGTTCTTGTTTTGTGTTTAACAGAAGAAAAAACCTGGCAAATTTTTTCTGTTATTTTACACAATTAAATTATTAAAATTAAAGATTTTTTATTTTATGTTTTTGAGAAAAGTGATCAGCAGTTTACATAATAGTGCAAAAATAAAGTTTTACTCAAACTATAAGGGCAGTGTGGAGTTTGTTTGTTTTCCCTGTGTTCGTGTGGATTTCCTTCAGGTGCTCCAGTTTCCCCCACAGTCCAAGGACATGCGGTACAGGTGAATTGAGTAAGTTGAATTGTTCATAGTGTATGAGTGGGAAAGAGTGCGAATGGGTGTTTCCCAGTGATAGGTTGCAGTTGAAAGGGCATTTACTGTGTAAAACATATGCTGGATAAGTTGGCGGTTCATTCCGCTGTGGTGACCCCAGATTAATAAAGGGACTAAGACGAAAAGAAAATTAATGAATAAAGGACTCAAACTATAAACAATTATTTATCAAAATCTATTGGATTTGCATATATACACTTTTTCAATTTTTCTATGCAAAACAAGCAAAACATTTGCACAAATTTTATAGATAACTAGAAAAGGTACTGACTTCAATAAAAACTGTAAACATAAGATGTCAAAGTTTTAAAAACTAAATAAATTAAATGTCAAAATTTTCAATCAGTGTTGGTAATAGTTTTGTACTGTTAGCACATTGTTACGTTTCTAGCAAGAGTAAACACTGTTAGAATGTATTAGGATTCGAAATACTGCTAACATAATCCACACAGCACGAGAAGCATATTTTTTGTGTGATTTACAAAGCTAGCATAGCACGTTCCCAACATGCTGTGCATGTTTCAACCATAGACTGTAAAAGATTTCAACATATAACATGATTTAGCATGCTGCTATGTTGTTAGCATGTTTCTGACATTTGTTAAATAGTACAATGCTATCATGTTTATAATATATCATATCACATTACTAGCATGTGTGTTGTGCTAATGTTTTAATAATCTTCTACCATTAAACACTTCTGACATTTTAACAGGTTGTTAACATGATTGATCACACTACTTGCACATTGCAGCACTGATAAGATGTTGCAAAGATATTTCTAACATGACTAAACACATTGCCTTAGATAGTCAGAACATAGGATTAGCACTATCAACTCACAGCAGGAAGGTCCCTGGTTCAAGACCTGGCTGGGTCAGTTGGCATTTCTGTGTAAGTTTGCATATTCTCCCTGTGTTTGCGTGGGTTTACTCCGGGTTCTCCAATTTCCCCCACAGTCCAGAGATATGCAGGTGTAGGTGAATTGAATAAAACTGGCGTAGTGTATTTGTGTCATTGCGCGTGTATGGTTATTTCCCAGTACTGGGTTGCAGCTGCAGGACATCCACTGGATGAGTTGGCAGTTCATCCCGCTGTGGCTATTAAACCAATTAATAGTACCACTCATTCTGTTAAATGAAAAACACAATTCTAGCAGTAGAAACTTTCACATAAATACCTGAAGCGTCCATTATTCAAACAGGACTGAGTAAATCAGCAAGACTCTTGTTAGCATGCTAGTTAGCCAGATCTCACTGATAAAATTGGAAAGGCTGCTTCAGATGTGATTATATTAATAGTTTATAAAAAAAACTTGTTTATTTTCGTAGCCATATATTTATATAAAGATGTAAATATGTCACATAAATACAGAAATTTAGCTTATAACTGCCCCACCCACTGTGTAAAACATTAAATAAGTAATTCAGAACATAGATTTATGCCAAAACTCACCTGTGAATAAAATTATTGGTGTAATATTATTAATACAGCCATAAAATATATAACATATTTTGTGTGTGTCTTAAAAACAAAGTATGAACATTGTAATTAAACTGCTACAATATCACAACAAAAGAAGAACAAACATGTGTATTTTGAACACTTTTTATTGTTAACCCAAGTATACTGTACATACATCCGGGGTCAAACAGGTTATGTCAGATTTATTTTTCATCCATAGGATTAAAATAAGGAAAGTGCCAGATGAGTCTACGGAGACTCAGAACATAACTATGTCAGCAGATGACAGGTAAACCAACAGGAGAGCTGCCTTTAAATATTGCACACATAGGATTGTTCAACAAAACAGGTCACAGGTGATGTCACACAGGAACACAGCTGGATTATACATCATATTTACACACAAAAAAACCCACATCTTTACATCTGCAGGCAAAAGCCAAGTTGGTACATTCCCCAGTTGAAATCAGTCTAAACTCTTTTGTTTTGTCGCAAACATAGAAAAGGTTCAGCCCAAACACACTCTGGCTTAGAGAACAATGCCAGACTTGTACTTTCCTAAAACAAAAGCTGTTTACCAACCCAACTGGATAATCGCTGTACACGACAAAAAAACTACTTTCTCTCTGCCATGCAAAGTAAATAATACATGTGAGGTCATAAAAGTGCTCCAATCTGATTACGTTTAACTTGATCTACTAAAATGAGTGGGGAAGGCACTATCTAGCAAGTGTGAGTTTGAAAGAAACTACTTCAATATGATGAACTACATTCTTCACAGCAAACATTTGTTAAGCTTCACATAAAAACAAAGGATGAGGGAATCTCAAAGACTCATATAGTAAGCATTCAGCACAACACAACAAAATATACAACTTGGTATAAGTGAATAAGCAAATGGAAGTGCTAAATATGATGCATTTTATCATAATTAGCGATTTCAGCACAATCGTTTTTTTTAGTATAGTAAAAACAGGAGATTATGCACGTCATATGTTCAGGAAAAAGTGCGATTTAAATGTTTGCGTACTACTATTAGAAAAACATCAACTATGTTAAGTCAGCAATAAATTCATGACCATATTTTTTCATGTTTTGGGGTGAAAAAAAACTAATAAAATATCTAAAGTTTGAATATTAAGCCCAAAGTATACTTTAATTTTCACATGTATGCTAGGATATGCGTAAATTGCACAACCCAAATTTCAACAAACAACTAAAAATGGCAAAAACAACAAACGCAATGCATGATGGGATTAAAGAACATAGATTTATACAGAGATTTGTAATCACTCATAACTTTTGGAGAGGAAAAAGTGCAGACACTGGACGAGAATGACTAGTGTGCATATGTTGAATGCATGATTTTGTATATATACTTATAGCATAGTTATATATTTACAGTAGCAGGGGCTTTGTGTTTAAGTGTGTGCTTGCTACAAACAAGTCTACACTGGTTTTTACACATATGCAAGGGTATGCGTACAATTTTGTCATCAAAGCACACATGTAGTGAAATTAGTTTACTAATCGAGAAAATTCAAACTTTGAACAGTTTTTGCACTACTTAGTTTGCCCACAAGGTCACTCATGAGCCAGCTGTTGTTTCGCAGTTAGAAAAGAAAGGAACAACAACAACAAATTACTAAAGATGACAAAAATAAAATAGATGCCTACATAGGCAACTGCATGTATACGTGAATTAATTTAAAGACGTTTAAAACTTTTTCTTTTTAACAAAGTCGAAGACATTTTATCGCTAAGATCTTTTAAATAGACAAAGCGCAGACTAGGATGAAGCTCTTTGATGCTTAAGGGTTCTTGAACACTCATGAAGTAAATTTTACATGGCGGCGCACGTACATAAATTTACGTGTTAAAACAAGTTTACTTTCATTTTTATGCACACGTGGCAAGGGTATATGGATAATATGCAAAAGTATTTTAACTGTGTGCACAATGTACACACATTTGTTGTTGCACTGCTTTGTTTGTCCACAAGCTGTAAACACTGCACCATTGTTTTACAGTCAGGAAAAAAAAAAGAAAGTAAAACAAAAACTACAAAAGTCGAGTAAATGTGCGATGAGATCAAAGAACACATATTGACATTTTAAAAGCTCATAATCTTTAGAGAGACAAAGCGCATACTCTGGATAAGCAAAAATCTTGTTAGCGCGCAAGTGCCAAACATCTATTTTTGTAAATATTATTAAATAGCATATCTTATTCATAAGGGCTTTGCTTTCAACTAAACGCATACGCTAACATGTGTAAATAAAGTATACTTTAGGCATACAGAGGTCGCTACACAACATAGTGTTAATTATAGATGTCAGTCAAAGTAACTAAATCTCCAAATAGCCCAATCCTCATCATATGAAACAGACCAGTCAAGGACAAAACCAATCCTTGTTTGTCACAGCAGCAAATGAATAACTCAATTTAAACTTTCCAGGTTGGCGTTCAGGATGAAGAGCAGTCTGTGTACGTGGTGACCATGTTTCCTCTTCGCTGGGTCACCGTCCTACAGTGCTGTTTGGTTGTGCCCTGAAACCTGCTATCTGTCCTCTTTACGTGTCGGTCAAATGTAAACATCTTCTCCATGTCTTCAAACATATCCTCAAAGGCTCCGTTTCCAAAAGAACCCTGGTAGTGTCTCTTGTGGCGATTGTGTTGTTGCTGGTGGGCCCTGAAGTGCTCTTCAAAGTGCCGTTTTGGGCGAGCGTGCCTATTTTGGCTATAAATGTCAAAGTCTCTGAACATGTCATCAAAGTTGAAATCAAAGGAATGATGGAAACGCTGCCCTGCTCCTCCTCCTCCATTCGTGTCGTCATTGGTGAATGCACTGTGTCCTAGCCGGTCATACTCTCGCCGTCTTTTCTCATCTGACAGGGTTTCGTATGCTGCCGAATGAGTTTTGCAAAAAATGATGAGTGAAAACAAAGGGATATTCCACATAAAAATACATATTCTAATTATTATTTTTTAATTAAAAAATGCTGATTCATATATAAAATATATAAATCTTTCACACTATTATTTTAGGGTTAAACTTTGCAATCAAATCATGTGCTCTGAACTGTAGTTTCTGGTTAATTATAATCCTAACTTGACATTTAAGATTCTGCAACGTGACTATTGCAGATTCACATATTTGGATATAAATGCTGAAACCATATATTGCGTAGCCCTAAAAGATATAAAGTTAGGTCCATAAATATTTGGACATTGACACAATTCTAACATTTTTTGTCTTTATACACCAATACAATCAATTTAAAATGAAACAAACAAGATGTGCTTTAACTGCAGACGATCAGTTTTAATTTGAGCTGTTGTAAAAACCCTATATATATGTGTGTGTATATATATATGTATATATATGTATATGTATATATATATATATATATATATATATAATTTAAGGGCTGCATAATATATTGTTTCAGTATCATTGTTTCAGGATCTTTAACGTGATTATAATTAACTAGGAGCTACAGAACAGAGCACATGATTTAAAAAGTTTAACCCTAAAATAATAGTGTGAATGACTTTTATTTTTGATTATATAGTTTTCAAGGCCTTTTACTAAGGTTTCAGGTGAATTTAAACCATTTGTGCACAAAGAATTATAATTACATTGTTCTGTTGTTTTCATCCATGCTTTTACTTTGTTGATTTTATGTATTTTGGGCTAAGTCAAACTAGTAATAGGTAAATATTTCCAGATAAAGTTACTAAAGTTATCTTCTGGAATTGTATTGTATTCATATCGCAATATATTTTCCAGATAAACAAAATAAATCGCAATACCCATTTTTTTCCAATATCGTGCAGCCCTTAAATATATATATATATATATATATATATATATATATATATAAATAATACAATATATATAAATTGTGCTAACTGAGTGATAACCATCGACTTTCTTAGTATTTGTTTTTCAAACTATAAAAGTTAATGGTTACCGGTTTCTACCATTCTTTAAAATATCTTCTTTTGTGTTCAACAGAAAAAGGAAACTCAAAAATGCTCCTTTTTGGGTAAATAATCCCTTTAAACTGTACTTGTAATGTTACAAATGTTTTATTTTACTAAAGGAATCCGGATTTAGTGGAATAGAATAACCCTGATTTTCAATCACAACAAATGAAAACATTTCAATTCAACTGTTTATTGTCATGTGCACAGTAAGGAAACACGTTTCCCTGTACAATTTGTTATTCTGCCCATTCATTATTTAAAAAATAAATATAAAAATGTTTGAAATTTGGAGGAAAATTATCAGGTCTGAAAAATTTGAAGTAGTTGCTTGTCTTTTTCCATGGATAGAAAAGGATTATTTGCCACTCTCATCACAGTTCAATTCAATTTTCAATTCAGCTTTATTTGAATAGCGCTTTTACAATGTAGATTGTGTCAAAGCAGCTTCACATAAATGGTCATAGTAATTGGATCAGGGTAGTTCAGTTTTTAGTGTTTAAGTTCAGTTCAGTTTAGCTCAGTTCAGTGTGTTGTTTGAAATTATTATTGAGAGTCCAAACACTGAAGAGCAAATTCATCGATGCATAGCTCTACCAATCCTGAACCATGCAAGCAAGAGGCGACAGCGGAGAGGGAAATAAAACTTCACCAATAGGAGAGTGAAGAAAAAAAACTTTGAGAGAACCAGACTCAATTCGGCACGACCATTTTAATTTCTCGCTGGCCAAAAGTCTTGTGCAGAGCTGCAGTCTCAGCGAGTGAGGCTGGAAGCTCCACAGATGACAGCTTCCTGTTTGCCAAGTTTGCAAGTTGCTGAATTTACTTAGTTTGCTTAATTTTTTTAACCTCTTGTAACCCCAAATGAGGTACAAAACCCTTTACTGGCCATACAATTAAAACAATGAAAAATAAATAAATAAATAATTAAATAAATAACAATGAAGTTGCAGTCAGAATTATTAGCCCCCCTTTGATTTTTTTTTTCTTTTTTAAATTTTCCCAAATTATATTTAACTAAGCAAAGAAATTTGTACAGTATGGCTGATAATATTTTTTATTTTGGAGAAAGTCTTATTTGTTTTTTAATAAACATTTTAAGGCCAAAATGATTAGCCCCTTCAAGCTATATATATATATATACATTGTCTGCAGAAAACAAACATAGTTTTACAATAATTTGCCTAATTACCCCAGTTAAGCCTTTAAAAGCTACTGTCAGTAAATGCTACTGCATTACTGTCATCATAGCAAGGATAAAATAAATCAGTTATTAGAGATGAGCTATTAAAACTATAATTTTTTTTTATATCTTCTCTTAGTTAAACAGAAATTGATGGGGGGGGGATAAACAGAGGCGCTAATAATTCAGGGGGGTAATAATTCTGACTTGTGTATATATAACTATATATTAAATGTAAAAAAAATATGCAAAGCTTTTTGACTTTTAAACCTACCTTCGGCAATCTCTCGAAATTTGTTTTCCGCATCAGGGCTCTTGTTCTTGTCTGGGTGATATTTCATGGCAAGCTTGTGAAAAGCTTTCTTAATCTGACGCTCAGAAGCATCTTTTGGCACACCGAGGATGTCATAGTAGTCCTTTCTGGCCAGTATGAGTTCTGTTATCATCAAGATGCAGACTGCAAACATCAGTGTGGACTGTGCAGTGGCCATGCTTCTTCTGGCTGTTTGATAAACGGATGAAAGAGATGGAATTTATTAATTGAATTTAATATATAAACACTAAATTATGCTAATCACAAAATATTTACCTCCAAATAATACAGTAAAATTACATTTCCCTTATGTAATGCAATTGTATATGTTTGTATAACGTTAATAGAAATCATGCATCAAATTTGGTAACGTGTTGTTCTGGTAATATTCATGATGTAACTTACATGCACCACGCCCCCTCGATTAACTGCTTTAAGTGTTTCAAAATACACTCATATTAAAACATAAAATAAAATTGTATAAAATATATTAAATGAACATTTTATTAAAGATAACGATAAATTAATTGCTGTTTTATTATATCAATGTTTGTAATACGGCGCTTGCAGTGCATGTAAAACAGTCTGTGCGTTTCAGATATTGTACCATTTTTTCTGTATTTTCTTTATATTGTTCTATTTATTGTAGAACAATATAAAAGCCTCATCAACACGCTGTTCGAAACCAACTTTTATAAATGATAAACTATTATTAGCCAGCTTGCTAACATTATGTCTGATTTTCACTTAATTTTATAACATGATCAATAACAGATATTTAGATACACTCGCTGTATACAAATATTGCACATAAATATAAGCAATAAATACACAAAAGTGAATGCAGGCATATTTGGAGCACGTACTTACTCTCGCTGACAGCACCGTAAAAATGACCTAAACCGATACAGTTGTTTTAATATTTGGGCAGTACAACACGACTCGTATTCCTATTGGTCCATCACCGTACCGCGTGACCTTCATACGAACCAGACACTAGACACCTCAATGTTGCGGTGTGTTTACGCAGGGCCTAATGAAATGTAGGCCTATGTGTTATGTACAGTTGAAGTCAGAATTATTAGCCCCCCCTAAATTATTAGTCCCTCCTGTTTATTTTTCCTCCAATTTCTGTTAAACGGAGAGAAGATTTTTAATAATAGTTTTAATAATTCATCTGTAATAACTGATTTATTTGATCTTTTCCATGATGGCAGTAAATAATATTTGACTAGATGTTTTTCAAGACACTTCTATACAGCTTACAGTGACATTTAAAGGCTTAACTAGGTTAAAGGTAAACTAGGCAGGTTAGAGTAATTAGGCAAGTCATTGTATAGCAATGGTTTGTTCTGTGTAGACTATCAAAAAAATATTTAGCTTGAAGGGGCTAATAATTTTTAGCTTAAAGTGGTTTTTAAAAAATTAAATACTGCTTTTATTCTAAACAAAAGAAATAAGACTTTCTCCAGAAGAAAAATATTACCAGACATACAGTGAAAATTGCCTTGCCCTGTTAAACATCATTTGGGAAATATTTAAAAAAGAAAAAACGAAACAAAGGGGGGCTAATAATTCTGACTTCAACTGTAAATATTAAAATAATATGTTAGTCACAGAACATCTTTAAAAATTGAAAGATAATACATTTAGATTCATGCAAAATCTTACAAACCTGTAAAAACTCTCCAAAATATATATTTTGTTTCTCTTTATTTTGCTATTTTGGAATTTTTTATTTAATATTTTTTCCTATACTATAAACATTTGCGTTACTCATTTTTGAATCATTATTGCAAGTTTTTTTTATTATTATTGAAGCATAAAACTGACAAGCATACAGGATTATATAATATCATAACAGTCACACAAAATGTACGCTGTGATGCAGAACATAGATTAAAAAATACCACATTACATATATGAGGGGATCCATTATGTTTAAATTATAAGATTGTACAATTGATTTTTTCCATTATTAGAGAGGTTTTTATAGCCGTCTTGTTTCTTGTAATTGAGGTAAAGAATCATAAAATATTTTTAAATCTTTACAGAAAAAAAATAAAGAAGACGTTTGACATTACTTTTGCCTTTTGTATGTGAAACTTCCCAAGAAAAATTATCAACTTCAAAACATTATCGAGTGTATCATAGCCAGTTTTACAATTCAAAAAAAGAATCATGCATTCGTCAAAGTTAATTACTTTGTAAAATGAATCAAAAATCAACCCTGAAACCTGTTTCCAGAAATCATCAGAAAATTTACAAAAGTACAAAATAGATGTAAAGACTTCCAGGCTCACTATGGCAAGTTATTTTGCTAGATTAGCTTCAGGTTTGGCTTCAGGACTGACTGGTCAAATGTATATGCACAAATATGATATTTTATAGCTTCCTATAGAAAATATTGATTTAAATGAGAGATTTGTTGGGGGTGTACTCATATATGCTGAGAACTGTATATAACCCTGTTACTGTACATAATTTATTATTTTATCAGTATATTTGACACAAATTCATTATACATAAATAAAAGATAAAAATTGAAAATAATAAAACAAAATTTGCGGCAGCACGGTGGCGCAGTGGGTAGTACAATCGCCTCACAGCAAGAAGGTCACTGGCTTTAGCCTCGGCTGGGTCTCGAATTCTGTGTGGAGTTTGCATGTTCTCCCTTTGCTCCCGTGGGTTTCCTCTGGGTGCTCCGGTGTCCCCCGCAGTCCGAAAACATGCAGTATACAGTAGGTAAATTGAATAAGTTAAATTGGTTGTAGTATGTAAATGTAAGAGTGTATGAGTGTTTCCCGGTGTTGGGTTGCAGCTGGATGGGCATCCTCTGCATAAAACATGCTGTATAAGTCTTTTTTATATTCAAGAATAATTTACAATTTTCTTGTTTTTCTAATGTTACATTGTTTAAAAGTACTTTTAAAGAAAATAAGAACATTTATGGTAAAATAATAATCATAGAATAACTGGTTTTCTATTTTTTTAGTGCTTTAAACTTAAATGATACAAGAATAAAACAATATTGTGTAACAGTAAATGTGAGACCAATCAGAATATTTAAAGTACTAAAACGCACACCTCACAAATAGGCAAGTCTAAAAAACTTCGAAAGATGATTTAAATGAAAAATACATGTTATTAATTGTGTGAATTTTTGATTCCTAATAAATAAGAGGAATTCAGACCAAAGGCAAGCTAAATGAACTTAAACATCCATTTAAATATGTTTCTGCACATATACACTTCACAAATAAAGAAGAGTATGCTATATTTATATATAAGTTAAAATGTATGTATATTTTTGTTTTATTTTTAAGATTTGAATGGTTGCTATTTTTACTTCTTTTTTGTACTTTTAATAATCATATATTTTTTATATTACATATTATATTGTTATAGGGCGAAGCAGTGGCGCAGTAGGTAGTGCTGCCGCCTCACAGCAAGAAGGTCGCTGGTTCAAGCCTCAGCTCAGTTGGCGTTTCTGTGTGGAGTTTGCATGCTCTCCTTGCGTTCGCAGGGGTTTCCTCCGGGTGCTCCGGTTTCCCCCACAGTCCAAAGACATGCGGTACAGATGAATTGGGTATGCTAAATTGTCTCTAGTGTGTGTGTGAATGTGTGTGTGGATGTTTCCCAGAGATGGATTGCGGCTGCAAAGGCATCTGCTGCATAAAAACTTGCTGGATAAGTTAGTGGTTCATTCCGCTGTGGCGACTCCAAATTAATAAAGGGACTAAGCCGACAAGAAAATGAATGAATGAATTATATTGTTATAACATGTTACACTTTTATGATGTTACAAATTTGTGTGACTAAAACCAAAAATACGATTATTTACATACAACTCTATAAATGTATGCATGGAAATTTGTATTTTAATTTAGATAAAAATATTTAATTACATTACAATGGGCCACAGTATATTTTAAGATGAAGAACAAAGGATCAGATCCACACAAAAAACTCAGAGAATAAGATACATTTAATTAATTAACAATAGATTTCCACAGATATTTAGCCCATCATTGAGTCTATTTATTTATAGTGTCTATGTGTAAATGTTTATATTTATTCAGTTTTTTATTTTTTATTTATTTTTTTACACAATTCTACACAGAAATTGTGAAAAATGTCCCCAGATTCTGTCTGGTCCTGGTAATAGGTACATATGGTAGCATGATTTCATACAAAAAATACAAAAAATTAAAACAATAAAGTATTGATTAAATCATTATACATTCACAATTTACAATAACATTTCACAGTTAAGATTTTTTTATTTTTTATTTTAACTGTGATGAGTAGATATTCAGAGAAAAGAATTGGTAAAGTTTAATGGAAAGTAGCTGTGCAGCACTGTCACTTCACACCAAGAAGTTTGCTGTTTCGAGTCCTGGCTGGGTCAGTTGGCGTTTCTATGTGGAGTTTGCATGTTTTCCCCGTGTTGGCATGTGTTTCCTCCAGGTGCTCTGGTTTCCCCTACAGTCTCATGTGATCCGTGAACTAAAGTGTGTGTGAATGGGTGTATGGGTGTTTCCCATTAATGGGTTGTAGCTGGAAGGGCATCTGTGTGTAAAACATTTGGGAATAGTTAATGGTTCATTCCTTTGATAAATAAAGGACTATGCCAAAGAAAGATTAATGAATGAATAGACAGTAGAAATATATGAGAACAGAAATTATAAAAATAGAAATTATATAGATAAAATATAAAACTTAGTAAATAATTACATTCTATATCATAATTACAACAAGAAAATATTATATGTAACACAGTGGCAAGATCTAATTTAGTTTGACATCAAATTGATTGTATAGATCAAAACATTCAAAAAGCGTTTATATATATATATATATATATATATATATATATATATATATATATATATATATATATATATATATATATATACATTTTTTTTTTTTTTTACTTATTTATTCTTTCTATAAATGAAATCTAAAAGTGACAGGCTTATTATGACAACAGCTGCAAAACTTGGCCATGATGTCATTACGTTTCCCACAATGCCTCAGCAGCAAAACAACGCACGCGCCGTACGCATTTCTCAAGCGTCTCTCAAAGATGGCGGGTGTCCCCGATCCACTGGAAGATATGCTCTATTCCGAAGTGGACGAAAAAGCCGTCAGTGACCTCGTAGGCTCGTTAGAATCGCAATTAGGTGGACAAAACAAGACAGTCGGTCCTCAAGGCGACGCCAGGAGAGCTTCGAACGCGCTAAATCCACACTTGGGGAAATTACTGCCCGCCCAAGTAGGAACAACACTGGAGCAGCAGCAGCGGCAGCGGCAAGCAGAACGAAACCAGGAGGGAAACTCTCAAGAAAACGGTCCGGACAGGATACCGGCGTCCAATTGTGTCCCTGCCACCGCGAACCTGCCCGCGAACACTTCTGCAAATTTGGTTCCCGCCGCGAACCTGGCGCAATATCATTCATCAAATCCATCAACTTGTTCAAGTGACGCAGCAGCACCAACAGACTCTCATCCCAACACAAATCACATTGCGTGTGCTGTCCGGACGGTTCCCGCCAGAACACAGCCAGTGAACGGAAGCAGTAGCACGTTAAACTCTTCTGTTATCGCTTCTGCTCCTGCTTCTGTGAACGGTATTGACGTTGGTTCAGGTGGAGGTAGTGGTAATAAAAGCAACATGTCTGCTCCTACTTCTACAAATACTGCTTTTGTGCCCGCTCAGCCCAACAGCACACTGCCACATGCGAATGTGTCACTAGATAGTCAAGCAAATCCCACCATAGCACTGCACAGGCCTCCTAACACCATCACTAGTGTCGTCCACAACGGAGGTGACCCTAAAGTCTCAGGATTGCCCGTGCAGGGGGCTGCTCTTGTGCCCACCCCTGTGGCGTTCACAAACACTGAGCCCAAATCTGACCCTCAAAACCAG